GTGTCCCAGGACTGAGCGCCTAATGGTGCGCAAAATTCTCAAATTTTGTATCTGGCCTTAATATGGTAAATAGGAAAGCCAATTAGATTTGCATAAGCCGGGGAGTCAGGAAAGTTTAAAGGATCAGATCATACTTTTGCACTATTAAAGAGCAGGCCGGGTAGGTGGGGCTCGTCAGCCATGGAAGGCAGCCCATCTAGGAGAAGGAAAACTCCAATTTCAAACCTCCACTGCCTTGTGGCTATATCCACTCATGGAAAAGGCTTCAGGAGTTAACCTCGAGGCAAAATCCGGAGCTGGAGTCCCGAAGGCAGCATGTGTCGTTCTGCCAACTCCTGCGACATTGCTGGAACCAGTTGTATTGGCTCTTGCCTTTCCATTGGACCATTTCAGCAATGTGGAGAGGGGGGAATCTGCTGCTTGGGTAACAGCCTATCCTCCATATTACCTTACCCGGATTTCATGCTCTGGAGAGGACACTCCTCGATTCAGAGCATGTTACCATAGTCTCTCGAGACTGAAGGATGCCTATGCTATAATGTCAGGAATAAAGAGCAAAGTTTACTTATATACATGAAATTCAAAGAAATGTGATAGTCCAAAATTGCAAGTTAACATTGTATGCTTTTATTAGTAGTATCGGGTTCACTGATCACTTGAATTCCTTTCTCTAGTCAGAATTATGCAAGCAGAATTAACTCTCCAGAATATTTAACCACCTTTAATATTCATTATAGTAGTAGCAGCCTGCTAAAACTTTATAATATGGGCGTGTAATTTTGAGAGGATTGTTAGGAACTGAAGTATGGTCTCTACCCCTGGATTAAAAAAACATATTGTACAGCCACTGCTTTAACCCTGAGATATTTTTGGAGGCATGTTAATATAAAATGGAACTACAGAAAATTATATGGATAAATAAATATAGAAACTTGCTCTTGAAAATCTCAGCAGGAAATTCCAGCACATCAAAGGCAGCTCCTTTTAGAAGGTTCTCTCCAATGTTTAATTACCACCACAACCATTCTTTAGATTAAAATCATTATTTCTTGTCTTCATAATAACCAGTTAATTTTTTAAGGTCATTAGTGTGTTGTGTTTGGCTGAACATACTCAGTTATTCTTCTAGTATATACCCAGTACAGTACTTACTAAAATACTGCTGCTTGAGTTATTCATTTACCGGAGTACTGAAGTAAGAGTTTGTGTCTGTTCTTAGGTAGCACACGATCTTATGCAACAGGCAAGGGCTCCTTCTTCTCTGCTGAAGGTGATGGTGAAAAAATATAATGAACTACAAAGTCATCCTTGTGTGTGTGCATGCATGCATGCAGCATGTGTATAAACATACATACATACAATGTAAAATGAATAGGAAAGCCATGTTAGATTAATGCAAAATTTTCTATGTGATTATTTTATTGATGATTACTGAGAAGGACTGATACTAAACCATACTTTCAATCATCAAAAAATGAGCTTGGAAACTAGTTTTTTTAAAAAAATAATTAATTTGCTATGTGTATATCAAACTGCAGATAAACAATGGAGGAGAAACAAAAGGCAGGGACAGAGAGAAGTGCTTCCCGTACCCAGATGGAACAACCAAAAAGAAATTTGCTCATGAAGTAATAGTGAAGGAAGTACTGGACTGAATAAAGAGGTCTTCGACTGATGCCTCAGGGGAGAGAGTGAGGGGGCTGCCTTGCCTCCCTTTGGAAATATATTGCAAAGGTTGAGAATAAGCACCAAGAAGGTCCTCTCTCATATCTTCACCAAATGTGCCTCTAGGGGCAGCATGGTAGAGATGGGTCTTCCACAAATATCTCAAGCCTTGGCAAGTTTATATGGGGGAATACAGTATAGTCTTTCAGAAGTCATATAGGGCTTCATAAGCCAACCCCAGGACTTTGAATTGTGCTGGACACAGACTACTAGCCAGCAAAGGTACGGTAGCAAAGGCCTCCCTGTATGCCTCTCCTTGATGCAAACATCTGTCAAGGATAGCAGTGTACTTCTGTCTTGTATTGCTAGGAGAATCTATTTTCCTCTTTTTAAAGAGTCTATGTCTGCTTTATTTTAGAAAGTTATAACTGCAGTTTTTATGAGCCAGATCCTACCCTGGAACAACTATGTGTCAACAAACCTCAGCCAGCCAACAAGATGCTGGTCCTCTGCTTGGCTAGACACTTGTCACATAACCAGGGATGCTACCAGCAGTTTGCTGACCAGATGCAATTCGCTGCCACAACCCTTGTGAGTTCATCATTCTAGTGAGAGCCTGGCCATGTTTTTTAATTAGCTTTTTTTCTCCTAAAGAAACAGAAGGCACTGCCATTCAAAAAAAATAATCATGAAAAAAACAGAAGAATCCATTCAGGCTTGTAATTAAGAACAAAACCAAAGAATGACGAGTATTTTCACGGGGAATATTAAAATGCTAAAATTACTTGGTACAATGTAACAATGACTGCAAGTAACAACAAATTGAAACTAACTGTTTTGTTCACTCTACCCTTATAAAGGCCCCCTCCCCAATGTCCTAGAAGTCATGAGAATTATAGCTGCTAATCATGCTGAACGTATCTAGAGGGAGAAAAGCTATAAATGATCATCCAAGCTGCACTGTGATACCATATGGCAAATTTTGGCATCTAAGTTCAGCATTTATAATTCAATACCTTCCGGATCCTAGTGTGCTGAGTAAGAAAATTCTTTGCTAAGTGTAATTATTTTTCATAACCCATAAATGTTGCTTTAAGGCACATAGTGTGACTTAGAAAGCAGCCCAACTGATCAAAAAGACATCCCCATCTCGATTTCATAAAACCTCATTTAAAAAATATATATCTATAAATCAAGAGTGAGAAAAGAAGATATAGAATAGTTATCTACCAGAAGTGGGTAGTGTATGTATAGTTGCCAAAGTTATATACTGTGTAAAGGTTTGGTACTTCACTGGGATTTTGAAGTAAAACTACTCAGTGTGGTGACAGAGCACAGAATGCATTTAGAGTCAGGGGGAGGGGGAGTGGTTTTTTGGAAGATGCTGAAGCAGAGGTTAGCATGTAATATTCATCAATAATGTTACAGGTTTCCGAACAAAGCAAAAACCTCTTCTACATTAGTCCAAGATCATTTGACCTGTTGATTGCCATATTGGATGACTTACACTAGTGAATGTATGTGTGGGACTGCCAATCCTGGACTTTCCAGTAGTTGATAGCATTGACAATGGTAGGAACCTTACCTTGGATCTGCTCCATACCTAGAATGAGGTACCAGGAAATTACTGTTTTACCCCATGGTCACTGGGTTCTGGGGTGCCTCAGATTTCTTTTATTCTCTTTTTAACAGCCACTGTAAGAAGCCATCTGGAGATTTGTGCTAAAGTACTGTCAATGTGGGAATGATACCTTATTTCCACCAACTACTGTAATTCCAGGGAATCTGTGGAAATCTTGAAAAGGTGTCTGGAAGCAGTTTTAGGGTAGAAGAGGGAAATTTATTGAATAAATAAAAAATAAAACAAGATGAAATTTAATTCAGCTAGGTAAAAAGTTCAGGGAGTTGAGAAACCTCCTGATTTTTTTTGGGGGGGGGGAGCTGCACTCTCTGCAGAGGATCCAATACACAACATTTCCAGTCAACATGGCACTGATTCTGGATATTGCTAAGTATGGCTCTTATCAGCTTTGGTGAGATACTGGTTGTGCCCTTAGCTGAAGAAAATAAACCTTGGTACAGTTATTCCTGGCCTGGTTAAATCCACACTAGACCATTCAAATGTGCTTCGTATGGGGTTGTCTTTAAAGGTACTTCTGTGTCTCCAAGAACTATTCTGAGAAGGGGAACAAAGCTACATAGCAGAATACAGCACGAGTCACACATGGAGTCTACATCCACGACAATTGCACAGGGAATCCGTTCATGTATATGAAAATAAAATATACAGTGAGGAATCCAGGGAAAGGCCAGATACTCACTTTCCCTTCCCTGTAGATACCCCTGGCTTCTGTGGCTTCAGCTGGGGAAGACGGCTCACAAACAGCATGAAATCTGAGCATAGATCAATTCTGTACCAGCTGCAGTGGTTACCAAGACCCTTCCAGGCTTACTTTAACGTGCTACCTCTACACACAGATTGGGTCCAGGTTAAGAGAAGTCTTGCCTGAGCCCTAAGATTGCCTCCATAGGAGTGAATGGCTTTTGCGTGCATCAGTAAGATCTGGTGTGAGCACAAAAGAGAAAGTATTTCCCTGGTGATCCCTTAGGGGGTGCCCCATAGCAGAACATGAACCTAGTTCCCTGCGTGATCATTTTTAAATGGGCCTTAAAGCCATAGCTGCTCAATGCTGCTTCCAATTCAACATTAAGGTCATGTTTTATAATATAATTTCTAAGGTTGCGGTTGTTTTAAAGCATTTTATGTTATTTTAATTAGGTTTTATTTTTTAAATGACTACATTTTTTTTAACTTGGTGAACTCAAGGTGGGCTTTCTTTGGTGTTTGTTCCTCCTGCCTTAATATTCCGTATTCGGCTGGTTCTGAGAGCAGGGTTTTCACTTAGCTATCCCATCTTCATTTGGAGGATTATATAACTGGATTGACTGGTCTGCAAAAACTCCTTTGAGAACTCTTTCAGCTCACTAATATATCCATCTAATGGAGAGATTAACAAATATAATCCAAGCACCTTCAATCCTGAAACACTAGGTTAAACCCCCCTTTGGTTGAGAGCTTCAGGACAAACAGATGGGTCTCCAGTTGACAGACTGAACAGCAGCTTTCTAAATCCTGCCTTGAGGTCGATGAAAGCAAGGCTGTTTAACCCTTGGAGTTTTGTTGCCTGGAAGCTACAATTTGCCGCCACCTTGAGATTGTGGAGAAAATACATTATCATCATGTCAGGTTGAAATTATGCTAATGTCAAATATTTCTACTGCGAGCAGTTGCCTTTTGCAGCTTTCCCTTTACAGCATTTTCTTTTATTTTACAGGATGGATGTCTTGGTTTGGGAACAGCATAGTAATTTTTGTACTGTACAAACAGCGAGCTGCCCTTCAGCCTACAGATTACTTGACATTTAATCTGGCAGTATCTGATGCCAGCGTCTCTGTCTTTGGTTACTCCCGGGGGATCATTGAAATCTTCAATGTTTTCAGAGACGACGGATTCATTATTACATCAGTATGGACTTGTCAGGTACGAAGTACATTTTGATGGATTAGGCAACCATGGACGTCTACACAATGTGAATACCAGGGGTTACAATAATTCTCTCTCTCTCTCTCTCTCTCTCTCTGTGTGTGTGTGTGTACACTAGTCCAAAGAGTAACTTTTCCAAGTTCTGATAAGACCTGGTGGAAATGCAGTTCTGCCAACCTGTACAGGAGACTCTCCCTTCCCTCAAGGGTAAAGTCCCACTGTTCCTTCCCATGTCAGTTCAGATATACATTTGCACCAGCGTCAGCTGTGGCTTCTACCTTATTCAGGGTTTGAAGCTGGTTTGCAAACTGTGGCTAAGTGCAAGGCTGCCCTGATGGTGGAACGATTGTGACAATTTGTCTAGGGCCCCCACAACGCAAGCCAACTTTATGTGTACTGTTGGCCCCTGACATACCATTCACCAAAACTGGCACATAAATGTAAACATAAATGTAAAAGTAATGTGGAGGCAATCTCATGGCCCTTAACATCACATCTGCAACTGGCCCCATAGACCTTGTGGGTAGCCCTAATTAAGAAAGAACTCGATTATCTGATTACCATTAACCATGGTTTATGTTATGCCAAGTAAAATGATAAACCAGGCCTGCACAACTTGTGACTCATAAAGCTGAATACAGCACAGCAACTCTCTAAATGGGCCAACTTGATAGCCGGGGAAAAATATCTTTGCTGCCTGACCAAGAACTCGAAAACAGGAGAATTGTTGAGAATCTGTCAGCCCCAATAGACAGCTCCTGGGTTGTGTTTAGCAGCATAGGAACATAAGATACTTCCTTACAGTGAGCCAGCTAATGAACCATCTAATCCTATAGCATTTAAAAGCTAGAAGAAACTCTAAGGATCATCACATCCAACCTTCTGATGAAGGAGGAGGTCCACAATGTCAAGTACTTGTTAACTCTCCAGATTTCTGGGGTGGGGATACAGGGCTCTCCTATAACTCCAATTCAAGATCTGATGTTATTTGGTCTTCCACTTTAGCCCAGTCCAAGGATAAATAACATCTTGGACAAAGCATGCATTCAACACCCAACCTGTGATCACCTTTGCAAAACCACCCAACAGGTTTCCAGGTCTTGAGGCAAGTTTGATTTTAGAAGTCCATACATGTGCATACATAACTGGGGGCCAGATGTGAGAATCATCAAATGCATGAACTACATGTGAGAATTCTTACAGCTCTGCCTTGCTGGGACCCGGGGGGGGGGGGTGTTTGTAATTGCTTGGCCAGGGCAAGTCCTGCGCCTTCCTATCTGCTTATCTTTGTTGCCCAGAAGTAAAGCAAGCTTTTATCTGATTATGGTGGTTTTATACCTGTGTGTGTGTGTGTACACTAGTCCAAAGAGTAACTTTTCCAAGTTCTGATAAGACCTGGTGGAAATGCAGTTCTGCCAACCTGTACAGGAGACTCTCCCTTCCCTCAAGGGTAAAGTCCCACTGTTCCTTCCCATGTCAGTTCAGATATACATTTGCACCAGCGTCAGCTGTGGCTTCTACCTTATTCAGGGTTTGAAGCTGGTTTGCAAACTGTGGCTAAGTGCAAGGCTGCCCTGATGGTGGAACGATTGTGACAATTTGTCTAGGGCCCCCACAAATCAAGCCAACTTTATGTGTACTGTTGGCCCCTGACATACCATTCACCAAAACTGGCACATAAATGTAAACATAAATGTAAAAGTAATGTGGAGGCAATCTCATGGCCCTTAACATCACATCTGCAACTGGCCCCATAGACCTTGTGGGTAGCCCTAATTAAGAAAGAACTCGATTATCTGATTACCATTAACCATGGTTTATGTTACGCCAAGTAAAATGATAAACCAGGCCTGCACAACTTGTGACTCATAAAGCTGAATACAGCACAGCAACTCTCTAAATGGGCCAACTTGATAGCCGGGGAAAAATATCTTTGCTGCCTGACCAAGAACTCGAAAACAGGAGAATTGTTGAGAATCTGTCAGCCCCAATAGACAGCTCCTGGGTTGTGTTTAGCAGCATAGGAACATAAGATACTTCCTTACAGTGAGCCAGCTATTGAACCATCTAATCCTGTAGCATTTAAAAGCTAGAAGAAACTTTAAGGATCATCACATCCAACCTTCTGATGAAGGAGGAGGTCCACAATGTCAAGTACTTGTTAACTCTCCAGATTTCTGGGGTGGGGATACAGGGCTCTCCTATAACTCCAATTCAAGATCTGATGTTATTTGGTCTTCCACTTTAGCCCAGTCCAAGGATAAATAACATCTTGGACAAAGCATGCATTCAACACCCAACCTGTGATCACCTTTGCAAAACCACCCAAAAGGTTTCCAGGTCTTGAGGCAAGTGTGATATTAGGAGTCCATACATGTGCATACATAACTGGGGGCCAGATGTGAGAATAATTAAATGCATGAACTACATGTGAGAATTCTTACAGCTCCGCCTTGCTGGGACCCGGGGGGGGGTAATTGCTTGGCCAGGGCAAGTCCTGAGCCTTCCTATCTGCTTATCTCTGTTGCCCAGAAGTAAAGCAAACTTTTATCTGATTATGGTGGTTTTATAGTCCCTTGCAGGGAAATATTCTTTCCCCTTTCCCAAGTATATATTTTACAGCCAGCTTGAGATTGAGCAAAGGAGCAAGTTTAATTCATTGTTCTTTATCAATGCAAGTAACTACTAAAGTGTTTTTTATGTGCCATCCATAGGGTGGGCATATTTCAGGTCTCCAAATCTAGGTAGCCAAATTTGTATAGTGTGTATGTTAGGTGGTTTAATCTGCATATTATGCAAATATACATACTCTGCAAATTAAGTCCATTAATGTTCTGTTTCCTTTTCTACCAATATATATCAGCCTTTGCATAATTTATATAGTAACCATTGACCTGAAAGAGCTGCTATAGTGTAATGGTTAAAGTGGTGGATTTTGAATGGTATATACAAGCTTAGTATTCTTGGGCCAATCAGTACTTCTCAGCCAAAACTACCCTACATTATTCCTTTGGAATAAAATGGGGAGAAGGGAACTATGTAAAGCAAACATGTACAATATTGATGATGCATATAAATAAAACAGTAACAACATTTGTCACATGCAGGGGCTTCTGGTAATATTCTCACAAGATGGCCGTTATTTTATACCATCAGTTTTTATAGAAGACAAAATCTGCTACAGAATAAAGGCAGAGAAGGGCAATCATGTAAGCATTTTTCCACCCCAGCAGGATCCCCTTTTCGTGCCCCATCTCACACTGCTTACAAGATTGGTTGTGCAGCTGGCTGCACAATGGAGGCCTGCTAGAGCAAGGAAACATTTACACAGTCATCCTTACTTTCCAGATAGGATACTGGGCCATGCAACCTCCTAGAGAATGTGTATAGGGTTTCATTCACTGTAACATCTATGTCCAGCCTATGTCTTGGCTGTGTGAGGCTCAAGGTTGACTTCCAGCCTTCCAAGGTTGGGGAAATTAGTACCCGTCTTGCTGGGGGCAAAGTGTTCTTTATATAAATATGTTGTAAACTGCCCAACAACAACATTAAGATAGTAAAACACATTTGTTAGTGAAAGGAATAATTTATGGACAGGTTTTGGAAGCTCCAGTTGAATCTTGTGTAACTCATTCTAATAGAAAGCTAGAGACACACCCCAACACATACAAAACCAAGATAAGGATATCACCATGCTTTGTAGAAACCCCAAATTTGCAGAAGTACAAAATATGCTTTAAAAAATCCAAGGGGAATATTCTCCCCCAGAATATAAAATGTCTGTACTGCATGCAAACATGCAAGCCTTTCTTCTCACAAATTTTGGATTGTTTGGACAGGTCCTTCTAAAGGAAACAGAATTCCCAGCTCTGTTGAATGCATGTTGGATGGATCAGAGCCAGTCAGAACCTTTAAGTCTAACCTACCCCACAGGATTGTTGTATGGTTAGACCATGGGGAAGAGGACATAATGTGCTCTGCATTAAACTCCTTGTAAGAAACATTCACATATAAATGTAAAAATAAATGAATTAACATAAATCTGTTACAAGGATTCTATAAAAAAAACTAACACATCTTTCAACCTCCAGAGCTTACACCTGGGTACAGTTTTTACAGTGCAGCCCTGTATGTGCCTATTCAGAAGTAAATATCTTGAGTTAAATGGGGCTTTACTCCCAGCTAGATGAGACTACCTTTGTAGTCTCAAAAAGCAAATTTCAGTCCAACCTGCTGTCTTCCTCACTGCCTGCACCTTGCTGTGCCCTGGAACATTCAGCAAACTATGCACGAGAAATGCACAACATCATCTGGGAGCATCCTTAGATACTGAACTGCTAAGTCCTTTCCAACAGTAGGTCCGTTAAGATGTTGCTGCAATAATCCCCAGCATTCAAGGTTTCTAAAATCGAAAGCACTTTAGTTTAATAGTGAACGTTGTTAATGACTGGCACAAGAAGATTAGAGTTGGAATCCTGGGAAGGAATGAGGCTCAGCATTGCTAAACGCTTACCTCTTCTGACAGCTGATGATTTGACAATAAACTATTCGGTATTAACACATGGAAATACAAGTCAGACTGTCAAAATCAGGTGGCAGTTCTGTGCATCTATAAACACATCAGGTTTTATTTCCCAGAAGGATACCCAGTGTAGTGCAGTGCATAGAGTGAAGGATTATAACTCAAGAGACCTGGGTTCAAATCTCTGCTCAACCATGGAAACTAACAGGAAGAGAGTGACACTCACAAATATGCATAGGATTGGACTGATAAGGATTTTAGCAGCAAGACACACATATTTGAAAAGCTCCAGTTGTAAAACATTGCAGATCTTGAACTCCTCGCAACAGCCTTTTCTAAACAGGCATCCTCTAGGTGGCTTCAATGATTTCTCCCCTGCCACCCCAGCCAGCATGGCTACTGCAAGAGCACCAGTGTTGCTGTTCAATATATCTGGATGGCACCAGGCTAGAAAAGGTAATTTTGAAATGAGAGA